AGCTATAAGTGACAAAGCGATACATCGATTAAAGGATAGCGCTTCACTCTGAATTTTATAGAGCGTTCCGAAAAATTGAAGAAATTATTATTTTTTTAATATATTGCTTCTCTCTCAGGTAAACTCTTTCAGATGTTCTTCCATATGTTACCCCAGATGATCATCCAGGTGTTCTTCCAAGTGTAAAATTTAATCATTAATCCCACCAAGGTATATTTAACGAGAGTGATACTATTAATTATAATTTAACGATTTAATGGACATGTTTGAATTGTTACTAAACATGTTGAAAGTTAAAAAGATATTTTAAGCACAGTGTTAACATTTTTGTCAAGAAAATCAGTTTCAAAACATTTGCTCGTTTTTCACGTTTCTTTGGGCATCTTACATGTGAAAAGTAGTGAGATGTGCCCAAAAGATTATGAAAAATTTATATTATACCGTAGTTATTAATAAGCTCATACGCATTTTTTAACTTTTTACCCATATGTCTGTATGTCCATTTATTTGTGCATGCAAATGCTAAGTATTATATTATTACGGAACTATAACAAAGAAGTATTTCGTGTGGTTCGGGAGCGTATATAGCATACTTTTTTCACTTTAATTGCATACAGGGCGTATTCAGTATTATAGCGCTATTGCTCCCCTCCTTTGTGGCTTGATGTTTTTAGATAATGTTTTGTAATTCTTTTTAGATTCAACTACATTAACACTAAGTATTTAGAATGCCAACATTCATCCAATTTATATTTAATGACTTTGTGAGAAGTCTATTGGGCTCTGTTTCCCTTTACTGCATGTGATGTTGCGCATTTTTATTGCTTGAGAAATACATTCAATGAGTTCAACTGATAAATAATCCCCATTTTAGTACACCAAGAATGCCTTTAAATGTTAATGTGGAATCACCGACAAGGAGCATTTTTAATCCTTTCGGACTCTGATTTCGATTCCCGCAACAAGAACACTTGAAGGGAGAGATCCAAGTAAAGGCTAAAGTAAAACCGTTTACAATGAATCTCTTTGATCCTTTGGACCTAATGAATCTCTTTTATGCTCGATGTCATTTCGATTATCGCATCAGGAATATCTAAGGGTTCAAATGAAAATTAAAGCGAAGCCATCAGTGATAAGTTCTTTCAGTCTTTTTAGATCTTTTTTCATTTTTATTGTCGTAAAAAATATCAAGATTATCACAGGATGATGAGTCCTAATAAATCATTCGATTGTGTTAAAATTGATTGTTAGCCGTAATTGATAGTTAGCTACTATTTTGATAAACTTTTCTATTATTTTTATTTTGTATATTATGTAGCTTACGATTTGATGACTTCTCCCTGTCCATTGTATTTCTCGTTACATTTTGCCCCCCTGCTCGCGATTTAAAAATGCATGTGATATAACTTCAATCCTGTTCGTTTTTCCTACACATTTACATCTGAGTTTTTAGATGATCGTCTGTGCGTATTTGCTATAACAATCAGATGTCCGTCTTTTTGGGTTGTATGCATATAAAATATCTCGAAAATTTTTGTTGAACGCTCTCAGTGTTACTATATGTTCTCATATTCTGTGATTTTTCAAATTATTTGTAATTACTGAAGCTAGAATTGAAAAATATTTTTATATAATATTAGTTAATAATTTTTTAATCGAATATCTCTTGTTTTAACATCCATGTTACGAAATATGAAACTTTATCTTGAATTTTTTTGTCTATCTCTTGTGATAAAGTTTTTCTGGTATCAATTTATAAATATTAATCTCTTAAATTTAAAATTTAACACCCAAGACGACGTGACGTCGGTATGCATTTTTTCAGTTCTGATGGAGCATGTGATGTGTGTTTTCCAGGATACAACAAAACCTGCATGCCTACTATAAGACAGATAGTTGACTGTCTCGTTGCTACTCATCCAATCCGAGCCTGTGGTCCCCGGCTTCTTCTTTCTGCTATAAACTCTAATCGAGCTACTAATGATTTTAATCAGGATACTAGCATGGTCGCTAGCAACAATAGTAGCAACAACAACAACAACGAGAGCGTTGAAAGTTACCAAAATACGCGGAATCCATATCACGATCATTCTTACATATAATTTCGCTATTAAACTAACTATTTTTATAGAGCTAACTGTTTTTATGTGTCATCAGCTTTTCTAAATAAAACAGAGATTTAATGCTTATTAAAGTATTATTCCACACTAATAAGGGAAATTCCAAAGTGTTCATTGAGTTTTTTAATGCCAATTTTGTTTAGTGAATTTTGAAAAAAAATATACGTGTTGTGGTGTTTATCAACATGCGGTTTTGTTTTCGAGTTATAAATTTTTGAAAATCTGAAAAATGTAGATCACATTGTTCTTCATAAAAAAAAAAAAAGCTTATCAAGGAACATTTGGAAGAAAACGCTTCTTTTTTTTTTAATAAATAGAGTATTTCGAGACTCCGTTGTCTTGAAACATATGTGCTGTTAATAGTTTTCGTGTGTAAAACTAATTTTTTAACCATTCGAAAATGTTTTAATATTGTTTTTGTAGGAAATCGTATGATATCGATATTTGAATTGTTTGAAAAAAAGTAACAAAATACATATTTTAAAGAGAAAGAAAAGTTACCGAACTTCGAATGCGAATCCGATTCGCTGGATTGTTCAATTTTTCAATTTAAACAAATTTATAAACGAGAAAACAAAGCCGCATATTGATAAATATCGCGATATGTATATATTTTTTGGCCTTAAGAATCACCAAAAAATTGTCATTGTAAAACTCGATGAACACTTCTGGGGTTCCTCTTGTATGTATTATTATCCTATTATACAGATTGGCTATCTATTTTTTATAGCTCTCTGGATGTAAGTTATTAGAAAATAATAGAGTTATTAATATATCATAAATCGCTATTAGACTAATCTATTTTTTTTTAGATTTTGAAATCTAAAGTGAGTTTTTCAAAATAAATATGGTCAAAATTTCAAAGAGATTTAAAGATAAAAAAAGGGAAGAAATTAAAAGATAGAAATCACGAAAGAAATTACAAAGTTTAAATAAAAAAGAAGTTATTAATAATCCATTATTAATAATAACTAATTGAATATTAATTGTCATGTGTTGCCATAATTATACTATATATGTATCATAATTAAAAATATGGCAATTATAATAGTTGTAAAATAATAATAACAGAATTGTGTATTATAAGTGTGTAGCTCAATTATGATAACAAATTTGTTGATGTAAGTATTTGATCATAATTATTATATTTATATCGTTGCGATGATAATCGTCAAAATTATGCATCACAACTATGTTATCGTCAGATATAATTATAGTAAGTAATATATGTAAGTATAAATATATATATATA